ATCATCACTTCTGTAGCTGAAATATTTACATTTAACTTCTTTTTCCTGCTTATTCTGATCACATACGGGGCCTAAATGTCAACAAACTGTCTTGTAAATAAAGGTTTTTTAAAAATGTGTGCATCCAAGAACCTGTAAATTGGAGAAAATGATCTTCTCTTGTCGATTCGTCATGGAAAACTGTTTTTACTCTCACACAACCACTGAATATCTATCATTGATGTGAACCGGTGCCACGTGTACGTTTAAAGAGTCGTGCTTGTATTGGCTCAGCAGGGACAACATCAAATGAGAACAGTTGATCTCCAGGAGGATAAATATTTGCAACAAACACAGAACGCCTGAGAACGTCACTCCGTTATATTTCATTCTGTTTCCAACTGGTGCCTTCATTTTCTTACATACATAAAGACATGTTCACCACAACGACCACATCAGTGCTGGTGTACGTCCTCACTGAACCACAAACAAGGAAGCGGTGCGGCACGGTGGAACGTCAGCAGCGAGCAGGGTTGCATCAGTTTTCCCGCCAAGCACCGAAACCAGCCGGACTAGTTTTATGGTGCAGCTTTATTTTTTTTTTAAGACGCATTGCATAAGTTAAAGTTAAAAAACCCCAACATGAATCATGAATAAAATGCGAGATGTCATCCACTTATTTTTCTGCAGAAGCCGCTCGGCGTTCGTGTGAAACCGGATACGCAAACGTTTAGACGCAAAACTTCATCCTGTTATTTGAATTAAATTAGCGGTGGTCCCCGAGGGAGACGAGCAAACAAAGTGAAATGCATACATCTTTACCTTCTGAGGTCACCGGTGGGTCTGAAGCACATTGGTCCTGTGGGAGGTGGGAACACCCTGGACGGTGCTGCCAAAACCAACATCCACACCTATATGGAATTTAGAGAAGCCTCTTCACGTAACCTGTAGGTTCTCTTACCAATAAATACATTCGAAATAACACCTTAAATCCAGTGAAATGAGACACTAGAGAAGACTTGATGCTCTCAGTCCGGTGCTCATGCTTTTATATTTGTTGCTATATTTTGTGCGTTTTCCTTAAAGTTCACGCTGTTTTGTGTGTTTTGTTCTCAAGGGGACCTCTGAAGCCACGACCCAGTGGTGGAACAAACCTCTCACCCTACAGAGAAGTCTTTTTTTACTTAATTTCTCAAGCCCAGATCAGGGTAGATGTGTTGTCAAGACTCTGCTTTTTTAGCCTCAGAAACTCCACCAGGATGTATACGTGCTTCAGTTTCCTCCTCTCTCCTTTTATAGCCTTGTTGTGTCACATCCCGTCAGTCAATGCGGACACGTGGCGTCACAAGAACCAAGAAGACCAGGAAGCTATTTAAATGATACTGTGGCTCATACCAGAACTATCTAAGCTCACCACATCCAAATCTGCAGCACTTAAACAGATATCATGACGAAAAACAAACTGCTGCAAAGGAAACAAAATGTTAAGGACAACACGTGGTATCTCACCATATGTCCATTTCCAGATTCAAAAGGCTCTCTTTGGAAAGCAGACTTCAGGGGTACACATAGCCCAGGAGGTACTTCCGCAGTGGTGGAGGGGTACGTGGAATAATTAGCTTAGCTCATGTGAGAAAACAGAATTTACATAAAGAATTGAGTGCACCCAGACAGCCAGAAGAAGTGAAGTTTGACTAAAGTAAATAAATAATGGTGAAAACACACAGATAAACAAATACATTTGTTAGCAGTTGAAAGAACTACCTAAAATTTGAAATTAACTGTTAGCTAAATGTACGGTTGAGATCATAAGCTAACAGACGATGGATTAACAGTTGAAACTGTTGGCTGGAAGTGAACTAATGGCTAAACTAGCTTGTTA